CCTCTTTAAATTAATTAAAAGTTTCTCCAGCCTCATGCTATTAAGATATTCTTCTTATTGATTATAAGCTAAATTGATACTTCCGATTGAAAAATTGATAGGGCTATCGCCTCGGTGGACGTGATTTCTCTTTCTTCATTGAGTTTGTTCTCCTATCAATGACAACATAATTACCTACCCACTATGCGATGCTAACCGATGCGTAAGTTCATTAGCGCCATACGTGATAGTTTGACTGCGGGCCATCTTATAGCATTCCAAAACCTAGCTGCGTGAATATGCCTATATTGTCTTTTATAAGCTAATGCATCGGTACTATTAGTATTAGGCTTATAATATATGCCTGACCAACACGTTTATAGTGTTAGTTCGACCTTGTTTTCACAACTTGGTCGGAGCGTCAGGTAGACCTCGTGGAACCTACCTAGTCCCGTGTCTTCCTATAGTATTCGTGATTTCCAGCATTGGACTATTGGCTGGGTAGATTCCTAAACGTTTCGCTGGCATCGTAGTCGGCATGGTAAGCACAGAGTTACAACTCTTCAAAGTGACAAGTGAAGGCAATCCCCTTGACCAATTTTCTATTCAACTAATATTTCTATTCGCTCCTATTTTTGTTCTACCTTCTAGTGTCACATCTCTTTATCTCAACCCCGCTTATTTGGCCCATCCACTTATTTACACAATTTTGTGCTTTCATTTCCTCTAATTTCGCCTGAGAGTGTGTCGGTACAAGTGGGTTTAGTGAGACGTAATCATCTCCACCACCAGTACCATATGCCGGTTGCAGAGTTGCGGAGTTTCATTCTGCCCTCCCTTTTTTTCCTACCTGCTTGTCAATTGGCTGCTGCTAAACATCAAAATTACTGGCGTGTCTTTCATTTCATTCGAGAAGTCGAGTCGAAGGAATTCGTAGACTGGCTTCACTGGATATCGCAGAAGGGTTGCCTTAGTCTTTGTTCTGTTGAATTGTACGAAGACCCCGACTCACCGTCTTACGACCTCGATGACTCCATGATGAGTGTTCGTCCGTCCTGTGACGGAGCAGATGATGCCCATGTCCTTCCATATGCCAGCCACCCACATTTTGTCTCATTATTTGAGACCCTGTGTCCGGCTTAATTCATAACCGCTTCCCTTTTTTCCTTCGAATCGCGAAAAGCACACTCCTCTTATCTCTAGTTGACTTTCCTATCTAATCCTAGGGTACTGGGGTGATGTTCATGTGTATATGTTGGCTGGTATTCCCCGTGCTCTGTATGTCATCAGTCATCTCCACTTCTGACACAGATACGAAAAATACACACAACACTAACGTACACACTGGTGAACTCTATCTAGCCCACCTATACCTATAACCTTTTATTTCATATCCTACATCTCATAGTTGAACCCCCTGGGTAAATCTTTGGCCACCTCCACGTCTGACTCCTCTCACTGCAGTCGCTTTTTCTTGACTTCCTTTTGTTCCTCATGAGCCGCTCCTTGGTGATGTCTCTTCCTCTCGTTAATCATTTGTTCTGGGTCAAAGCCTCTTCTTTTTTATGTCTTCGTTGAATCCCCAAGTCTGCTTAGGCAGTACGCAAAATTATCGCTAACTCTTCTCTCTTCCAATCTCCTGTTCTTCAGGTTTCTTTGAAAGAGTATGTTCACAGCCTCCCTGATCTTCCGTTGCATTCCATTCAATTTTGTGGCCGGTAATGACGATCTGTTCAGCCATTTCCGATCTTTCCGTATCAATTTTTCTGCATAGTCGCTTATGTTCCTAGATCCTTGTGCTGATTGTCCTTCGTGTCTCTCCAATGTATTTTTATTTACAGTCCTTGCAGTTTATGCTGTAAACTCCATGCACTCCATTTTGGTAACTTCTTCATGTTGTGTGGGCAAGCTGGTGAAGAGGGTTGTCCTTTCCTTCAGGATTGTACGAATGTTCGAGTCAATTCGCAGGAGGGTAGACATATCCATCGTTTTTCCTCTTCTCCTCTTGTTTTCCTTTCATAATCTCCGTCCTTTCATCTATTCATCACCATCCGTATGTTGCTTTGGATATCCGTTTCCAAGAAACATCTGAATTACTTTTCCCAGATCCTCTTCCCAGAATTCAGAATCGCAGAGTTGTAAACTTCTTATGATCATATTCCGGAGTATTCCAATCTTCATTCCATAAGTATGGTTCGACGGAAAGTTCAGAGTTATTTTAGCATGCTATTTCTTCCAGAAAAGTTTTTTATTGAGTTGCCTCGGAGCGAATTGTCTCCGCATCCAAAAACGGTAAGTGTCCGTTCCTATCCACATCCATGGTAAATTTTTCCATAAGGACATTAGCCAATAGAGATGAGAGTGGTGAGCTCATAAGCAGACCA